GGAGATCCCGGCTCTCGGTGGGAGGATTCCACGGCAGTCGCCGACGGTTCGAACATTGACGGTGGAATGCCTGCCGGGAGGAGGAGGAGGAGGAGGAGGAGGAGGAGGAGGAGGAGGAGGAGGAGGAGGAGGAGGAGGAGGAGGAGGAGGAGGAGGAGGAGGAGGAGGAGGAGGGAGGAGGAGGAGGGAGGAGGAGGGGAGGCGAGGAGGAGGAGGAGGAGGAGGAGGAGGAGGAGAGGAGGATGAGGGAGGAGGGAGGGAGGGGGGGGGAGGAGGAGGGGGAGGAGGAGGGCGAGGAGGAGGAGGAGGAGGAAGGCGAGGCAGAGGAGCCGGCGGTAGAGGGGGGAGCAGTGAGGCTCTGCGCAGGGCGTGTGCCCGTCGGATGCGAAGGAGAGAGGCTGGGAGGCTGCGAGTATCCTCGCTCAGTGCCGAGGGGTGATCGCCCTCGAGAACTGCTGGCCACGCGCAGATGGGGGTAGGGGGAGGGGGGAAGGCTTCTTAGAAGCACCCCTGCTTCTTAGAAGGCGCGGGCCTTCTTTGTAGATGTAAGGCCGGCGCCTTCTAAGAAGCAGCCTCCTTCTAAGAAGCCTTCCCCCCTCCCCCTACCCTCTTGTGCGCGCCGCCAAAACTGCACTACGTCTTTCAATCGGGCGATGCCTAGTATCTCTGCACTTGGCACAGGCTGGCTATCCTAGGTTCAGACAGGACGAACGAACCGAAGATAGAAAGCGGGATTAGGATAGAGGAGGAGGAGGAGGTGGAGGAGGAGGAGGAGGATACTCCTCCTCCTCCTCCTTCCCCTCCTCATTTCGGATGCTTCCTTGAGGTTCTGCGGGCTTCCCGCCTTCCGCAGAGCGGCCACGAGGGCGGGGACGGACGGGAGGAGGATGAGAAGGACGCAAGGGAGCAGAAATGAGGGACGCCGACGACGACGATGATGGTGGTGGTGATGGTGATGATGTCGTCGTCGTCGTCGTCGTCGTCGTCGTCGTCGTCGTCGTCGTCGTCGTCGTCGTCGGTGTCGTCGTCGCCGTCGGTGTCGCCGCAGCCGTCGCCGCCGGCGCCGTCGCCGCCGTCGTCGCCGCCGTCGCCGCCGCTGTCGTCGTCGTCGTCGTCGTTGCCGCCGTCGCCTTCCGCGCCGCCAGATGTTGCGGCTGCTGTCCGAGGACGGGAGCCGCCCTTCCCCGCAGCAGATGCAGGCGGTCCACGACGTGTTCCTCTCGATCGTGGAGGCCTGGGGCCTGCCCTCGTCCTCGCCCTCCGCCTCCCCTCCCCCGCTCCCCTCCCTCCCCTCTCCTCCTCCTGCCCCCCCCTCCGCCTCCGCCGTCTCCCCCCTCCCCCCCCCCTCTCCTCGTCCTCGTCTTCCTCTCCTCCCCGCTCCCCCCCCCCTCTCCTCCTCCCACCCCTCCCCGCCGCCCCCTCTTTCTTGGCCTTTCGTCTCCTACTCCCTCTCCTCCTCCGCCGCCCCGCTGGGCCCAGGGGCCCCCCAGAGTCCCGCGGGTGCCTGCGGAGGTGCAGCGCGCAGGGACAGCGCGGCCCTGGCTCGGCCCCCAGACTGTCCCAGGTGTGCTCAGCCCTTAGTGTGAAGTCGGGCCTGTCCCTCTACAGGAGGAGCGTTCCAAAATAGTTACAAAATATTGCGCCGTACCGAAAGTTTCCCCAATTTCGCCACCGTGCTCGCCGCGGCCATCAGAGGTGGCGCGCGCAGGATACGACTCGCGGGGCCCGAGGGCGGACGGGGACGATACCGCGAGGGCAGAGTCGGCGCGCCGATGGGCAGCCCAGCACCCTGTTTGGCTGAAGGGGCCCAGTACAATGTAAGGGCAGAGCGTAACCCCCGCCCGGGGTCGCGGGATCGGGTTCCCCTTCCGAATTGAAAATCTGAAATCCCAGACGGTGTGCTGACCCGAAAATGAGCAAACGGCATCGGACTTCCTCGAAGAAAAACTTTCGGGTTCGGCCATACGACGACCCGAAACATTTTCCGGCCGACCTGAAAGTGGCCAAATCCCAGGGGCCTTGTGTCAAACAAACATCGGGTCCGGTTCGATCGACTTGAAAATGCGCGAACCGCTAAGGACTCGATGCAAACACATCGTTCTCGAAGTTTTCGGGCCCACTCCGAAGAAACCGAAATGGGCAAACCGCCTGGATCTTCCCATCAGAAGCGGTTTCTCGGTGGTCTGGGCTTCGTCCGAAGGAGCCGCCGATGGGCAGACCGCTCAGGACTTCCTGCACAAGAAACGGTTTCCCGGGTGAGCCATTGTCAACGGGAACGCGCCCCGCGCGGGATCGGGGATCGCACGGGTGCGCGACTGCTCTCGCCTGTCCAGGGGCATGCGTTGCCGCGCCCTTCCAGCATAGCGTTAGCGCTGCATTCACGCGGCGCCGTGCCTCTCAAATCGGAGTGAACTCCCCGAGCGCCGATGTAGTCTCAGGACGATGTTTTGATGATTCTTGACAATTTTAGGGCATTTGTCGTTTTTTCGCCCAAAATCCGCCTGCAGGGAGCCTTAGTGGGCCCTGGAAAAGACAGGGCCTTTCTGCCGTTTTTGTCGCCGGTTCCGGAGCTGTTTTTTTCGCCAGTTCCGTCACTTTTTTTCTGGGTTCAGGCTGAAGTTTCAATTCCAGGACCGTTTATGTTCCGTTTGCAGTCGCCGTTTTTCTTGCGTACCACTTCCAAGAAACATTTTTGCGGAAGCGGTGAACAATTGGCCGTGCCGCTTCCCCGCTTCCTGGGCGTGCGGAACCGCCCCCCCCCCCCTGGGTCCCCCCCCAGGCGCCGGCGCCAACGCTGGCACCACCTGGCGGCGGCGGCGGCGGCGGGGGCGGTGGCAGCGACGAGGACGACGACGACGAGGAGGACGACGACGACGACAACGACAACACGACGAGCACGACGACGACGATCACGACGACGTCAGCGACGGCGTCGACGACGACGACGACGACGACGACGACGACGACGACGACGACGACGACGACGACGGCGGCGGCGGCGGCGGCAACGACGACGACGTCGACGATGACGACGGCGACGACAGCGACAAGCACGACGACCATGACAGCGACGACGTCGACAAAAACGAAAATAATGACGACGATGACGGCGACGATGTCGACGGCGACCACGACGACGTCGTCGACGGCGACGACGACGCGGACGACGGCGACGACGACGACGACGACGGCGACGATGGCGACGATAGCAAAGGCGACGGCGACGACGACGTCGGCGACGACGACGATGACGACGACGTAGGCGCTGCCAGCCGCCGCCGCTGCCGCCGCCGGCGCTGGCGCGCCGGCGCCCGCGTTGTGATCGACAGCGCCGAATTTTCGGGGGGCTCCCCCCTCTTCGAATGTTCGGGGGGGCCCCTCCCCCGTCTCAAACGCGCCGCCGAATGGTCCAAAGTCGAGCGCCGCTGCGCAGAGTGTGTTTCGGCGGTGCGCCCGGGGAGAGGAGAGATGAAACCGGCGTTCTCAGAGGGCGTCGTGGCTTCTCGGAAGCCTTCCGGCCTTCTGAAAAGAAGTTTGCGGTGTCTTACGAGAAGGCTTCGAAAACTTTTCAAAAGGCCGCAGGCTTTCCGAGCCTTCTGAGCAGGCCCGCCCCTTTTCACTGCACCCCTGGGCTCGCCGCTGATTGTTGTCACAGAGACAGAAAATACACACATGTGTGTGCACTCTGTCGCATCTCTACTCGGAATCTGGAACGTATGCATTGAAAAGTGGCGGGCTTTGTTTCAATCCCACGAATTTTTGAGGGTCGGGGACGACGTCGGGATGGTGTGGTGTCTACTTCTCCCCCATTACAGCGAAACATCTATACACCAGGATCCCGTATACACCAGGATCCGTGCCCCTGTGAATTTCAGCGCAGGGTCGGGAAGAAGCGTCGGTGTATAGAGCTCGTTTCCCTATCCACTCGGACTCCATTTGGGAGGCCCGGACTGGTATGAGGAAAGAGGGATCCTGAGGAGGACGGGTCCTAGTGGCAAGAGGGGAGGCCAATAAAAGGAGAGCACTATTGGCACCCCCCGACCTCAGGCGAAGTATTGGCTGCACATCCACACGGGCGAGTTCAGCGGCGAGGAGGCGGAGCACCTGCTGTCGAGCGTGGCCAGCGCTCGCCCGCTGGCCGCGTGGCGCCTGCGGGACCTGGAGTACCTCAGGAGCCCGCCGGGCGGAATGGTGGGCTTCGAGCACAGCAAGCGTTGAGTCGGGCCTGTCCCTCCACAGGGGGATTCTCGACGAAAAATAAAAAATGCCCCCAAAATAGTCGAAGCATACTCCAAAAATAGTCTGGGGATTATTTTTGGGGTATTTTTTTACCTTCTTGGGGCATTTCTGGGGTATTTTCATTTTTCGTCGAAAATCGCCCTGTAGGGGGACAGGCCCGACTTAAAGTAAGCGTTGAGTGGGGCACGTCCCTCCACTGGGAGAAACATTCGAAACTAGCCAAACCATACTCTGGAGACGATTTTGTTAGTTGATTATGCTTTATTATGCTTTATGCTTCATTGATTATGCTTTAGCTTTGTTGATTTAGTTTGATTGTTTATGTTTTTTTTTGTGGATTTAGCTATTACTCATTGTTTGATTTGCGTTGATTATGCTTCATTGTTTCGGTCCAACAATCCGCCTGTAGGGGGGCATGCCCGACCTCAAGCAGGCGGCATGAACCCAAAACTGGCAGGGCCCGCGCGGCTTTCTCTCTTGGATCGGTGTTGGATCCTCCGTGCCTTGGCGGCTCCCCTTACGCCGTTGGTCCTTCGCGTCTCACATGCAGGCACAATGAGAGAGAGAGAGAGAGAGAGGTACAGTTAGACCGAGCTATACTTTGAAGTCGGTTCTGGGATGGTACCTAGAGTGCTTTGTGTTTGGTGGATGCTATTGTGTAGTGTGCATCCTGGGGAGGGTGCCCTTGGATGTTCTGCTTGTTCTGGCCGGCGGAGGGTCTCGTGTTCTTGAGGGATGTTCTTTTGGTCTAGGGACTACTGTAGATCAATCAAAGGAGCGATCGCTTTGGGTTACAGTTTCGCCATCACCGTCCCCATACTGTCGTTCCTTGCTTCTTCCTCGTTCTCGCCTTAATTACCTTGCGAGCCCTCCTCGTCCTCCTCACATTTATGTGCGGAGGCTCCTTTGACCTGAGCTTCTGGAAGACTTCGCGAAAGCTTTCTATGGGTTTCCGAGGTCGCCTCTGACGTCCCTGGCGCTTTTGGGCGGCCTCTGGGGGGTTCCTCTTCCACATGCTGCAAAACCCTGGTCTCGGGTCACGGTTTGAATGCTTCCAGGGAACGTCTTGGAGGAACTTTGGACCGTCATGGGGCCTTCAGCGGGCAGTTCCTGAGCTCTCTTGGGCCGTTTTGGGGCTCTCTAGGGCTGCCAGGAAGCTATTGTTGGTCGTCTTTGAATGGTTCTCGTGCGTTTTCGGACGTCCGGAAGATCGAAGAGCCGAGTAGCCCAACATCGTACAACACCACCGATTTTTTTCGCTGCGTTCCTGAAGCCTCTTGCGGGTGATATTCGGGCCGTATTCGGGCGTCTGGCGGGGGTCCTGGGCCGGTGGGGGCCATAGAGAGCGTTGGTGGTCTCTGTGGACCACCGCCGACCCGTTTGCGCGGTTTGCCAGGGATCGGGGCTCAGACATCTCGCGGGACCCTGCGAGGAGGCGTGCAAGAATCCCGGTCGCCGGGGGTCCCGTTTCGAGGGGGGGATTCTGTAGGGTCCCAGGTTTTGAAAAGCAGATTAAGGCACATCTACACACATGTGTTTATATATGTATATATATATATATATATATGTGTATATGTATCTATACGTGTGTATATATATATGTAAGTATATATATATATATATATAGATATAGATGTATCTATGCGCGGACATTGCGACATCGGAGGTGAGAAGCTCCTATCGAAGAGGACGGGAGAGCCCCCCGACTTGAATTCGGTTTCGGTTTCGGATTCGTGTCGCGCATGCGAGCGGGCGAGGCGAAGCTGCGCGAGCGGGCGCGAGGAATGAACCCTACTCTGGCCAGGGCACAGCGAGGACACACGTCGGCCCCTAAACCTGAAACCTTAAACTCCTAATCCTATCATTACTAAACCCTAAACCCCGTAAAACCAAGCACATACGCTCACATACGACCCAGCATGTAAACCGGCACCATACCTTGCAAACATATTGTTTTCCTGATCATGCGTGCATAATCCATTGCGGTTTACAATACAAATGCGCGTCCGCGGACGTAGACCCTCGCCACTCCTTGTAAAACAAATACGAAAAAAAAACGATTTCCTGATCATGCGTGCATAATCCATTGCGGTTCACAATGCAAATGCGCGTCCGCGGACCTAAACCCTCGCCATCCCTGGCAAAAATAGCATTTTATGATTGTGCGTTCATGCACCTATGCGACTTTCCTTACCAAGTGCGCCGCTGTCGCAGAATCGGGTGTTTTACAATGTGATTTCCATGATGTTTCAGGCGCTCATCACACTCCCAAGCGCTCCCAAGCGCTCCAGGCGCTCCCAAGCGCTCCCAGGCGCTCCCAAGCGCTCCCAGGCGCTTCCAGGCGTTCCAGGCGCTCCCAAGCGCTCCCAGCGCTCCCAGGCGCTCCCATGCGCTTCCAAACGCTCCCATTCGTTGTGCTTACAACGAGAGGAGAGATGATCTTGATGGTAGGGTGGTTTGCGGGTGGGACTGGCAGCCACCGCAGGTGGGCTCATAGGCAGGAGGTGATCAGCTGCGGCAGAGCTTGTAGACCCGATATTCTTATTTCTTAAGGTCATTAAGCGCTGAACACCGCAAACACGATTACATACGAGCACATACGCCCCAGCATGTAAACCGGCACCATCCCTTGCAACATATACTATGTCCTGATCATGCGTGCATAATCCATGGCGGTTTACATTACAGCGCGTCCGCGGACGTAAACACTCGCCATCCTTTGCAACAAATGCGATTTCCTGATCATGCGTGTTGCACATCCTCGCCATCCCTTGCACAAGCTATTATTTCCGGATCATGCGTGCTGTAAGCCCTCGCCATCCCTGGGAAAAAAAAATATATTTCCTGACGTTCATGCACCTATGAGACTTTCCTTAACCAGGAAGTACTCTTTAGGTCCCCGCAAGTTCTTTATGGAAGGGTGGTTTGCGGGTGGGGCTGGCGGCCACCGCAGGTGGGCTCCTAGGCAGGAGGTGATCAGCTGCGGCAGAGCTTGTAGATCCTAAACCCTGAACCTTAAACCCTAAACTCTTAACCCCCCCCCAGACGCGTTGCGGGCGGGTGCCTGGGATCCCCGTTCACGGTGTCTCGTGGTGTGGTGTGGTGTCCCGTGGTGTTTTTTGGTGTCCCGTGGTGCTTCGATTGGTGTCCCGATGGTGCCCCCCTGGCGCGTCCTTGGTGTCCCGCGGCGTCCCGCCCCACAGTTGGGACCCATGCCAAGGAACACCCTGCTTGTCTCCAGTGTGCGCTTGGTCCCTGGGCTTTTTGGGCTTCGTTGTTTCTGCCATGGGAGACGTGGCGTTCCCACACCAAACGTGAATGGACGTCCTGGGGTCTCAGGGTTGGGTTTCTTGTGGAAGGTTTCTTGTGGTCGAGCCCTTTATTGTATTGCCCCTATCGTGTCCCATGGTGTCCCGTGATGTCCCGTGATGTCCCGCGGTGTCCCGCGGTGTCCCGTGGTGTCCCGCGTTGTCCCGTAAGGTCCCGCGGCGTCCTGTGGCGTCCCGTGGTGTCCCGTGGGATCGATCGTGCGATCGATCGTGATATCGATCGTGATGTCGATCATGAAACCGATAATGATATCGAAGCTGAGATCGATAGTGAAATCGATACTGGGATCGACAATGATATCGACGTTGATATCAATATGGGGATTCCTCTCGCTTCGCGGGGTGCACGTCCAGAGCACGTACAGTGCAGTCGTTGTCGGGTCTCTGGGGATTTCTTGGGGGCCCTTTGGATGCCTCTTTGGGCCTCTTGGGTCCTCGCGGGGGCGTCCGGGAGGCCTCTTGGGGGCCTCTCGGAACCCCGTGTGGGCTTGTTGGGGGCGCTCCTGCGCTGTCTGGTCCCTTCGGAAACTGTCTTGGGGTACTCTTGGGCCGTCTCGGGGGCTTTTTGGTGCATCTCGGCGGCCTCTTTGGGCTGCCTGGGGGCCCTTTTGGGCCGTTTTGGGGCTCTCTTGAAGGCTCCTTTGGCCGTTTAGGGGCCACTTCGGAGGCTGTGTCGGCCGTCCTGGACTTCTGAGAATCGAAATGGGCGGGAACGCTGAAATCTTCAAAACGCCGAAGCAAAATCCATGGTTTTTGGCTTCTGGAGGTGCTCTTGGGGGTCCTCTGGGGGACCTCTTGGGGCGTCTTGGGGTCTCTTGGGGCCACCTTGGGTCCGTGGAAGTGGCGTGGCCTCGGGGGGGGGGTATGAGGGGAGACATAGTGACGTAACACAATACAATCTGCAGCAAGTGTGCAGTCATTCGACCCATGGGATACGTTGCATTATCGCCTCCGCAGACCTGCCTCCGGCAACACGTCACCTCAAGACGTGGATTCGATAGGCTTGTGCTATATCCGCCGGCCCCTTGATCTAGTCGGGGACCTTCTACTATTGCTGTCCTGGGGACTTTCTGTGTCGTCTTGGGTTTTTTTGGCGGGCTCGCCGGAACTGCGCGGAAAAGGGGGGAAGCGGCGCAGAAAGCGGATGCCAAGGCAGCGAGCCACAAGAGGAAAGCGGGAGCGGAAGCGAAGGCGCTGACGTACGCGTCGTGCGGGGGAGGTTTCGTGGGCACGAGACATTTGAAGAAGGGGCAAATTGTTGGACATGGGAACCTATACATTACAGTGCCGTTTTTAATACATTCTCCGCGCGCGAATCATGTATTAATGTATTAAATATGCTGGGATTTAGAATTCAAAACAACGATGAGCTCATGCATGAATTTACTCATACATTAGTCATGTATTAAAAGCATTTTTATTTACAAACTGCCCTGTACCAGTGGCGGGCTGTTTTTCAATCCCAGGATTTTTTGAGGGCCGAGGCTGGCGTCGAGGTGGTGTGGTGTATGTGTGTTTCCCCATTGTCTTGGGGAAAACGCAAAATGTATACATCAGGATCCCGTGTCGCTTGATTGTTTGCAGGTTTGAGAGCGGGCCCGGAACACGCGTCGGTGTATAGAGTTCGGTTCCCTCAATTGAGGATCGTCGAGAACAGAAGCAGGCGCGCATGGTGTGTGGAGACTGTAGCAAGCGTGGCAGCACCCCGAAGGGAGTGGCCGATGCTGCAAAACGGCTTGAACGATAATTTACGTGCGAGGCTTGCGAGAATAAGTTTCCGCGGCAGGAACACATAAACGACAGACAGCATAGTGATCGCTTCCCGAGGAAGAGTAAAGATGTATGCGCAGGCTGCGCAGGCTGCGTGGACCTCGGCTTCAAGGCGCGCAGTTGGCAAGCGTATGAGTGTTTTGGCACCTGCAAGAGGAATTTCTCGCCCCACATATACGTTTCCCAGAAAAGGAATGGACCATTTTGGTATCTGACGGCCCTCTGGGGGAGGCTGTTTGAGGCCGTTCGGGGGCCTCTTCGGAGGCCTTGGGGGTTGTCTTGGCGCTCCAATGGGAGCTCGGGGAGGGCCAGACCCCCCCGGATGAGTTCGGCAGTGGGTCGTCCCGGGCCTGGGAGAGGAGGGCAAAATGCCGGTTTGGGGTCCCGGGGGGGGGGGGAACATGGGGGGAGGCATTTCACACGCCTAGAGACCCACAAGGGGAGATAGATCGTGATATCAATACTGAAATTCGTCGCGAGATGTTGTGATTGTTTGTTGACTGGTTCGTGAGATCGATGGTGAGATCGGTCGTTGGACCGGTAATGAGATCGATCGTGAGATCGATCGTGAAATTGACATTGAGGCCGATCGTGTTAGCGATAGTGATATCGGTAGTGATTTCAATCGCGCGATCGATAATGCGATCGATCAGGAGATCGATCGACAACAATGTCGATAGTGATATCGATGGTGAGGTCGACTGGGAGGTCGACTGTGAGATCGATGCTGATATCGATCGTGATATCGATATTGGGAAAGATGGTGACATCCATTGTGATATCGAATGTGATTGATCGTGTTACCGATTGTACGTTCGATCGTGATGTTAATTGTGCGATCGATCGAACGATCGATTGTGTTACCAATAGTGACACCGATTGAGTGAGACTCTGGTTCCCCCCGAACCTCCTTTCTCACCTGAAGGGTGGTCGTATAGGTATCCCCCAAGAATGCTCCAGTGCCGACATGCACTGTTGAGAGTTTTTTCGCCCCAAGGTTTGTTTGGCAAAGAAACCAATGTTTGTCCATCTTCCGAGGGTAACATCATGGAACCCGGCTCCGCTTATCAAGCGCTGGTGGCCGTCGGCCCAGCCCGCCACCATGCTTGGGTTGTAGAATAGAAGCTTGTGGGACGCTTTCGGGGATCTCTTGGTAAGTCTTTCGGGAGCCTCTCGGATTCGCTTTTGGGGTGTCTTGAGGGCCTCTCGGGGCTCATTTGGGGCCTCTTGGGGTTGATTTTGGGCCTCTTGGGGGTCTCCTGGAGCTTGTCGGGGACCTTAATGGGGGCCTGCTGGCGGTCTCTGGGGCCGTCTCGGGGCGAAGGGCTCGAAACCTCGGCTCGTGTTCCACCTTTTGGGGCCTCTAATATCGGGGGAGCGTAAGACCCGGGTTTGCCAGGACTCGGATTCGCCATCGTTTTTTGACGACCGCGACTCGGATTTTGACGAGGAGGAGTTTTGTGGGATGTCTGCAGCGGGAGGCCTCGTCAAAATGCAGGCTCGGCCTCGTCATTTTTTTGACGACCTCGTCGGGGATTTCCGAGTCCCCCGTACCCGGGTCTTACGTCTCCCCGATAATAGGCCTCTCCTGGCGCTCTATTGGGCAGTCTTGGGGGCCTCTCGGGCCATCCTGGACCGTCGGGGTGCGCTCCTGGGGGCCTCTTGGGCCGTCTTGTGTGGAGGCCTTTTAGGCCGTCTCGGTGGCCCGTCCTTGCGCACAGTGTCCACAGGACGAGTCATGCGGGAAGCCCCCGAGGGCACGCGAGCGGCCTCAATGGTCAGGCGACGCACCGAGGCAGTTGGGACTCGGGGCCCTTTGAAGAGTATTTACCAAATCCAGCATTGAGCATCGAAGACTCTAGGTACTTGTGGACACTCCACTTCGTGCTTCGAGGCACGGTGTCGGATCACCCCACTCCGCTCCCGTTTGCCTTGCTTGAGGAGGTATCTGTTGGACCTGCACACGTTCGACGCGGAAGCTACTTCGGCGACCACGATGCAGAGTGCGGAAAGCATGCGGTCCGTTGGGATTTTGTTATGGTGATGATAATGATTATGGAGAGGAGGAGGATGATGAGGCGGAGGAAGAGAAGGAAGAGGAGGAGGAAGATACTGAGGAGGTAGTGGAGGCATAAGAGGAGTGACAACGGACATTGACTGGAGATTCCGAGGAGACTTTGAGGGCTGGTTCATCAAAGTTTCGTTGCATCCGCCCACCCCATTCCATTGTTCAGTAGCCGAGCGGCCATGATGCCTATTGGCCGCCCTTTCTTTCCCTCTGTTTGGTGGTGTGTTCCCTCCTTGTTGAGATCCTCCTGCTAATCCGATACTTTCCGACGACCAGGATGGAATCTTGTTGCCGATCGCAGGCCTGCCCCCATGGCACGGCGTTGACAATCGAGGCCCTTCGGATTTAGGCCCCGCCAGTGTTGGTTGTTGACGCTTCGCGCATGCTCACTCACAAGCCCAGCCAGGGCGAGTTGCCTTGATCAGGGAAGTGCACCAGCAAGCAGTGGAACAGAGACGCGGGGGAACTGCCGTCGATCAGCTTCAGCTGGCCAGCCGTTAAACCACATTTCGAGATCAGGTTGAATTTGCCATGGTTGGGCAAGCCTGTGGAGCATGTTGCGGATGGGAGGAATCCAGAGCCCACGCCATGATTCCCTCGGCCCTCGATCCTGGAGCTTTCACGGCGTGGCGAGTGACGAGGAACAGACATTGAAGGAGAGAGCCTCTTTGGGCTCTGGAGTGGCTCTGGTTTTCTGGCCTCTCCTTATATCCTCAGATCTCGGTCGTGAAGCCTGCTCGCGGCCGAGGCTCGCCGTGGCTGGGAGCGCTCCTTCGTTTCCTGCCTTGCGTGCCGGTTGGCAGCGCGGCGGCCGCATCCCGACGGCAAGCCGCACCTCGTGCTCTCCTCTCCGCGGCGCGCCCGATGGGGCAGGCGAGAATGGAGCGGGCCTTCTCTCGGAGGGCGGCGGGGCTTCTCGGCGGCCCCACCCCCCTCCTGCCTCCCGAGAAGTGTGCCTTCAGGGAATGCTTAGGCCATTT